TCGTTGGTAATGGTAGTTGTGTCACCAGGCGCTGACGCCGGCACGCCTCCGTCTGCTACGGCTGCTTCGCCGAGCGGGCGCGGCTCCGCCGCGCTTATCTTCTTCCACACATTTCAACACCCACCTAGTATCCGGCTTTTCTTTTATTTGAACAGATGGTCAACATTCTTTGACCAATAGCATGTTCATATTCCACATCATACCTGCTATTTTCAACACTATTACGGTGTATGGAATGGTGGTAAGGAGCGTTGATCAAGTGGACAGATGAGAGAAAAGCCGGGTATTAGTCGAGCATTTGATCGTACGAATGTAGGTAGGCGCGATGGAGCCACGCCCCCGCCCTCCCCCCCCAGGCCCGTATCACAAAAGAGGTCCATAATGCCTGGAGTGCTCTGAACCGTTTGAAGAGTTTTTAAGACCGGCCTCACTCAGCTAGACGCATGCCCCGGACACAACGGTATGCCTCACTCCTGTGAACCGATGACCCCTCTCTGATCTTAAACTACTTATTCCCGGTTTCTAAAGTTTTGTAGGACCGGTTAGGAATTCTTCAAATTAGCTCCACCTACCTCGGCGCAGGCTCCGCCCACAACGGGAGTGCCTCGCACATTCCTACATTGATCACTTGGGGACCATAAACTTTTTTTGGCACCATCTGCAGTGCTTTAGGACCAAACTACGACTTTTTATACTGGTTCCTCGTGCTCAAATGCACGCCCCGCCCACTGTGGCGCTTACCATGGGTCATGGGTGCTATTTAGGTTTTGTCCCATGCTCTACCCATCCCCACCATGACCCGACCTCTCCAAGTTCTTCAGGTGCTATGAATTTCGTGACAAACAGACAGACAGACACACACACACGGACATAGCCGATTATGTCATGAGTTCATTGGGCCAATACTAGTGTGATTGAGCTTTTCTTTGAAAATCATTCGGGTGTCTTGTAGAAATGTTCATCGAGAGCATGATAGGATCATTCTACTTGCAGACACAAGTCGTGAGCAATAACTGTTCCAAAGGCCGATGCCCTGAATGTAATGCTGGGCCAATGGCACTAAAAAACTTGTACGCGCTCATGTTCGTTAGTGTACAGACTGCGCATGAAGACAGCGTGACTCGACTGAAAGCGTCATTATAAGCGAAGCAAAAGTAACAAGGAAAACGAGCTTCCTTGTGGAAAGATGCGAACAAGATATTCTTTACGGAAACGGGATTGGCCCTCAGTCTCAAGCAAGGATTTTGCTATCCATTCTCTTCAATTTCGAAGAGTAATATCATAAATTGGAAATGAGAAGTTAGGATTCAGAAAATACACAACACAACTCTCGATCAAACTGTCAGTCACGTTATTTGCCCCTCCTGCGGGGACAGCTTTACTTCTCATAGTAAACTTGCTGGTCACTGCCTCGAAAAGCATGGTGGAGAAAATCCTGATCAAGACTATGCCATCATCCACGGTCATCTAGAGAACTGGAGAACGTTCGAGGTCAGCAGCTATTGTAGGGGTGGAGGGGGTTCTAGGGTGAACAGGAAGAATTCTAATATTCCAGGACTGGAAGCACGCAAAGGAATTATCAACTCAAACACATTTCGTGGTCCGTACTTCACGTGAATCGTCAAAAGGAAGATCGATTGCGTACGTTTGCCAGCACTCTAGAGGAGCAGGAGAAGTCGTCGACAGTTTGGCTATACGCAGGCGTTACAGGATTTCTAAACGGATTCATAGTCATTGTTCTGCATTTCTAAATGTAATCTTCGTTATTTGAGGCCCTCTTAGAAATCACAACTGATGTCCATATAGGTTGTTCTATTGGCCGATGGTCAAGTGGACTACAGCGGAAGCTTTGGCCATATTGGCCATGTGATAACCACCGCAACACTGCCGCTCTCCCCTGAAGATGAGAATGTTATTGTCGAGATGCTAAAATCTGGTTTGACACCTTCTATTGTACGTTTTTATTCCCTTATGTAGTCCTGAAGTTATTTGGGACCTTTCGCTTGCAGATTTTAACAAAAATTCGATCTGAACGATGGGATCCTTCACTTGAGTATAACATGCAGCCCCGTCTATGCTATTTGAGTTTGAAGGATATCAAGTACGTTTGCTAATGTACTAGGGTTATTTCTAGAAATGTTGTGGTACTATTCAGGAGTATAGCTCAGAAAAAGGGCCTTGTGGCCGGCAGGCTGCATCAAAATGATCTACTGTCACTAGAAGAGCTTTTGGAGTCATCTGCGGATGTCGTAGATTATTCGTACAAAAAATCGATCGATCCCACCGGCGATGGCTTTGTTTTGGGTAATAGTACTTCAGAACAATTAACTAGGACTACTTTACTTCTGGCTTTTTCTAGCGCTAATGACGAAAAGCGGAAAGAAGTTTTTGGAAAGATATGGATACAAAGGTTTAGTGTTTGACGATACATTTGATGTATCGCGTTACTCGTTTCGACTTGCAACATTACTCGTAGTGACTGATAGCGGCAGGGGATTCCCCTGCTGCTTTCTAATATCATACCGCATGACATCCGAAGAGGTAGCAGAACTATTTCTTTTAGTGAAGGTATGGCTCAGAATAATACTGTTGAAAACCATCATTTAAGTTGAAAGCTTTCCTTTGCGGTTGATCCTCGTCATGTGCGAAGTAGACAGGACGGCGACGGCAGCAGTAACAGTCTTAGGCAGCGTTCAGACTTCGCGACGGCAGCGCTTCGGTCGCGCGTTCGACGCGATCGATGCGCATGCTTTCGACTGCATCGATCGCGTCGAACGCGCGACCGAAGCGCTGCCGTCGCGAAGTCTGAACGCTGCCTAAGAAGCGCGTGGCAGTTAAGCTGCAGTAATCCAATGGCTGGCCAACCCAAGCGCCCGCCGGTTAGTTACCCTTCCACCCACATGCAAAGCACGCACAAATGTGCAGCTTCACTGCCATCCATTTTAACGCTTCTACAGCTGCATCCCGTCCACCTCACACATGGCAAGTATCAGTCTCAAAGGTAAGCTTCCAACGTATATTCTAAAGAGTGCTATTTAGAAATCGATCCCGGAGTTTGACACTCGATTCATTATGACAGATGACACGAATGTATTCTATAACGCATTTTCTAATACGTTTCCTCAAAGTCGAGCTCAAAAAATCTTATGCTCATTCCATGTTTCCAAATGTTTCCAGAGAAAATTAAACGAAAGTCTGCAGGTAACCATAATTCCAGTGCCGCTTCTCGGAATATAGTGTTAGCCCAAAAGTTTATAGTCCGATGATGCGAAACTGGGGCAGCGGTTATTCCGAGAGTTGTTCCATCAAGCACTCCCATCTTCTTTTGAAAGGAAGTACGCTGCTTTTGTCACGTGGATTAGCTCTAAGGATCCCGGAGGACTTGTTGAAGTGAGTCGAAATTTAAAAACGAGTGCATCCAGTCTTAATCTGATTCTCAGTACATGGAGAGATGCTATTCGAGTCGGAGAAGAGAATGGGCGCCGTGCTACAGAAGAATCGCCCCCTTCGCCACTTCCAATCACGCCGAATCTTGGCACAACACTCTCAAGCATGTCCTTCTGCGTGAAAAGCAGAACAGTCGCATGGATAACCTAGTCTTTACTCTGATAAGGTATACTTCAGATCTGGAGATGAAATTCCTTACACAGGTGCGCTGCTTTGAGGCAAAACTAGATGTCATTTCCAATGGAATTCTCATCACAGGCTTTGAAACACTCGAGTGACGGGAAGGGTCGCCGCGTGCAAACCTTAAGACGGCACAGAGATGCTGTAGTCAATTACGCTGAACGACAAGTAGGAACATCTTTATTCTGTCTTTGTTGAAACAAGCTCACCGTAATGTAAGGGCTTCTATTTTGAGGGACTCATTATTCCCCTCAGAGAAAATACATGGGGAGTCGCCTCGAAATCACAAGACGATGTGCTTTACACGGTTTACATTGGACAGTTATGCAACTGCGACGAGAAGGTTCGTTTTCTCCGACTCTAGGCTTATTTGACATGTTGTGGTGATCTTCAGGATAACTCGCACTGCGAACGTTGTGGAGTTTGCTATTACCGAGTTACTTGTGATTGCCCAGATTCCCTTAATGCAGGAATATCATGCATCCATTGCCACGCTGTCGCCGTATTCGCGTCGGAAGGTATACAGATACTTGAGTTTGGAAGGTCTTCGAAGTCAATCTTTTAGCCCGACAACTTCTGCCAGCGGTTCAGCATCCATTGTCTGCGCCATCAAACCGCGAAACCGCTCTGACAAAACCGCGAACCCGCTCTGACAACATCGTATTCGAACGACGAAATCTTGCCCGAACCCGCCTCACTGGATGTGGGAAGTGGCTCGCCATCCATTTTGCAAGACGTGCCAAGCGAGGTTCTTAAGCACGACGAGGCAAATATTGAATATCAGAAACTAAAAGGAGTAAGCCTTCATATTGGTAAATGTGATTGTCGAGTACTCTAAATATTTATTTGTTCTAGGCAGAATCTCACTTAAATGAGATAGCACGTCGCTGTTTCCAAAAAGGACTCGTAGACGCTCTTAGAGAGCTCAGGCTGGCAGTTGAGCAGGTAGTGGAACACGTCTCGTCGACAACAGGGATAGAATTCGAAGGTCCAGTACGAAGGACAACAGTTCAAGGGCCAGGGCCTACGCCTAAACCTAAAACTATTCTTGCATATAAGAGCGTAAGTCTATGGTCTTCCAGCTATTGCCGTAATGCCGTTTCGTTAGCTCAATCACTCTCTTTCAGAAAAGACAGGTAATCGCTGACAAGAAGAAGGAAAAACCAGCTCCAAGTCATGATGGCTCTGATCTGGATAAAGTCTGGGATATGGATCGCGATTCTCTGATTATATGTTTCCTATGTGGTCGTAGGGAACCACCGGTTGCACACGAGGACCCCATTACCTGGTTTGGTTGTTCAAACCAGGAATGTAAAGCGTGGGCGCATACGTGTTGTACGGAAGGTAGGTTTCGTGTGTGCTCGGTATGCAACATTGGTGTTTGGCAGTTGGATTGTGGAGAAGGCAGTTAATATGTTTCTCCACGATCCAATCGTCGAACACCAATGCTGCAGATCGGGCAAACATCGTCCGCCATTTTACATTATCGTCTTGCAATTTTGTTATTACTTGCTCAGCTCGTCAAGGCTGGTGGTTGAATATGCACTTTCCATCTTGCCCTATTTATGCCTCCTCTGCTTCAAGTTCTAGTTCTATTCATTATATCATATTGATTCCAAGTCACGCCCCA